GGATGATGGATGAAGTCAGGAAATCAGTGTGATTTCTTCTGGTCTTAAATTCAATTCAGCATTTATTTTCATTCATGTGTTCAGTATTTACTCATTGAGTACCTGCTAAGTACAAAACACCATTGTATTAATATTAGTTTATGTAGATATTAAAAATTGTATAATAGCACTTGTGATTTCCTTGTAATTATATTGAATTTGGAAATAATCTAAATATTCAATTACAGGAAAATAGCTTAATTATGGTATAGCCATAAAGAGGAATGTTTTATTATGTTTCAGTAATATTTAATTGCTTGGAAACATGTACACAGTTATTGTTAAGTGGAAAAACAAAGGGTAGTATGATAGATTTTTAGAGGGAATAAAGACCAGGAAATACAACAAAAAATTTAAGTGTATATCTTGGGATAGTAGGATTTAGGATGGTTTTTATATTTTTTCTTATGTATAACTTTCTATATTTTAAATTTTTCTGCAATAAATATGAATTTTCTTTTATAATAAAAATTTTTTTAAAAATTAGTGTTACATTTATTGTGAATCATGGCTGCTATTTAAAATTCCTGAAAGCTGTGGATTTGAGGTTTTTCTTTCTCAAGCTGTCTCCATATTTTTAGAGACCCAGAAAGTCTTAGAATTTGAGAGGGGTCATCTGGCCCAACCCCCAGCCTCAAGCATAAATCCCCTGTAGCCCTGTGTGTTCCCACTTTTCACTCCACTAATAGGAAATTCACCCCACAGGGCAGCCATCTTTGGGGAGTTCTCCTTTTTAGGAAGCTGTTTCTTATACTAAGCAAAAATATGTTTCCTTAGAACTCCTATGTTATGGTCCGAATCCTGCCTTAAGGGTCACAGAAAACAAATCCAGATCCTCTTTCACATTACAGCCCTTCATGTGGAAACTCCAAGTCAGTAGTTCTCAAATTTTATTGTACAAAAAAATTACCTGGGGAGCTTGTTAAAAGGCAGAGGCTTAGGCCCTACCCAGAATCAGCATCTCTGGAGAGTGGAGCCAGATGTGCACTGGAAGTATTATTAGAAGAGGGACAAGAGGATGAGCAGCCAGGAAGCCACACGTGTTTTCCAGAGACTTTACATTGAATATGGTTATATTCCTCTACAGGGACAATGAGACATGGAATAAAGGGAAACTATATAAATACGCATTTGATTTTTCAAAAATATTCTTGGCCAGAGTTCAGCTTACTGTATATACAACCTTGATTTCATCCTTTCTTTCTTTTAGATCTTTATTGGAGATGTAGTTTTTTATTACAAAACTGATGTATATTTGTTGTGAAGAAATTTTTTTAGATGAATATTTTTAAAGCTTGTTTTGTGCTCTGTTACTTCCCCAGAGGTAATTTCTGTTAATAGTTTGGTATATCATTCCAAACTTTTTCTCTATATGTAAATGTGGGTGGTGTTGGGGCGGGGGTACACTCCCCCACACACATATGTGTCTGTACATGCTTTTGGTTTTCTGACAGAATGAGATCATATTCCTCGTATTGTTTTGCAAGTACACTGAAAGCTCCATGAGGGTACATCTCGTGATTTTATTATCACACCTAAAGAAATTAACACTAATTCCTTCATATCATCTTATATCCAGACAGTATGCAGATTTCCCTGATTGTCTCATTAATAACTTTTTACAGTTGGTTTGTTTGAATCAGGATCCAAACAAGATCTGCCCGTTGTGTTTGACTGATACGTCTCTTAAGTCCCATTTAAACTGTAATACTTCCTTCTCCCTCATTTTTCCCTTGCCGTTTATTTGTTGAAAAACCGGGCTTATTTGTCCTTTAGAATTTCCCGTGTTCTGGCTGTGGCTGAGTCCCACGTTTAGTGTCGTTCTGTTTGTCTCTTGGTTCCTCTCTTCTCTGCTTTTCCCATAAACTGATAGTTGCATCTGACGTCTTAGTTAGATTTAGGTTCCGTTTTTTGGTAAGAATACTTCATAGAGAGTGCTAGGTTTACCTGTGTTGAATGAATGAGTGAACTTGCTTTTTTTCACTTAATATATTGTGTACATCTGTCCCTGTCGGTACTTATACATCTGTCTCATTCCTCCTCTAGTTGCTTAATAATTTCCTAGCATAGACTACCATGATCTGTTGAATCTTTATTAATATGGGTTGTTTCCAGTTTATAGTTTTTAACGATGCAGTAAATCTATTGACTTCTTAGAGAAGTCCATAACTGATTAATAAACTGAGATAGAAAAGGTGAGCTAGTGGTTTATATGTTTAATTTAAGAATTTTTGGTTTTATATTAAAAAAATCAAGCAAGTAGTCACTGGCCTTTAAAATATTTATCAACCTCTAATTGCTAAGTAGATTCATTAAATATTAGGTAAAAAACAATCTGGAGAAGAGTCGGTTTGTCTTTGGTGTGTCTTTGATGTGTCTTTGGATTGACGTGTGTTTCATTCCAGAAAAGAATAATGGGATGATGTGAGGAAAGGTATGCGTCAGACTGACAATGATATAATCATGTTCTCCTCTAGCAGATGGATGGAAACGTGGCTGTTTGGTTTTCAGAAGGGGAAAGATGTGGTGTGTGCTGTGCCATTTAGGCATTTATTTTTTGTGTGTTCATCCATCCGTTTAATTATGCTCAGATACACAGCCAGTTGACAATCTGAATGTAGTATTGATGAAACACAGAACTTCTGGTTTTCAGTTTACCCATCTATAAAATGGGAATAATTACAGTTTTCTCTGGCTCATTATGATCCTCATGGTCATATAATGGTAATGTAAATATTTGATGTGGTTCCTCTATTTAAACCTAAAGACTTTTCAAAATGCCAAAATGTAGAGTTGTTTTGATTTTTTTCTGGCACAGTTTACTTATTTTTTTTTTCTTTTAGTTATAGGTAAACATTGGAAACTCCATACAGTAAACCAGTATTTCTACAGAAAAATGGCAGAGAGTCAGTGCTGAATGTAGTAAACCAGCTTTCTTCTCCGGGAAGAACTATACTAGGCCTCTTTGTTATCTTGGGCGATGCCATACTACAAATGGACTAATCTGAAATCCTTTCACCTAGAGATCATGTACAAGCCTTAGAACTCCTCGTTCTCATGTTGCTATTTATGTACATAATTAAAATTCCAAGTTAAAAAAAAAGTTGTCGTGCTTTTTTCCTGATATTATTGAGTGATGGTTTAAGTGTAGCTAGTGCTCATGTGTGGGTATGTGTGGTATGTGTCTCTGGGTGTATATGTGTGTGTGTGTGTGTGTGGTGTAAAGAAAACCATTATAACTCTTCTTAGGGCAGTATCAGCTGGCAGTCTGCAGAGTCCAAGTCCCACAGCAGAGTCGAGTCAAAAAGAATGGCTCTGGAGCTGAGAGATGCTCCTTCAGTAGCCAGCACAAGGAGCAAAACTTGTAAGTAATAGTTTGCCTGACCATGGTTAGAAGACATACAAAAGAAACAGTGACCATGACCCCTTGTTGTATGCCGTTGTCTCCCAGCTTGTACAGATCATCCGGTTCTTGAATGCCGCTGGGAGGTGCATAATGAAGTAGTCTCTGTCCTCTGCCAGTGGAGGAGTGGCATGCGGTTGTGTGTGTTGGTTCTCTGTATATAGGCCTTATGTTCACCTTTGTGGCTCCTGAATGCATAGCTCATTGAACTCCGTATTCCGTGCTGGTGGAACCAGCAGGAGCCTGTTTTGACTTGTCTGCCAGCCAGGAAGGATGGCAGGGGAACAGTATGTGAAAGAGAATTGAGAATTTCCAAATTTCAATCAGATTTGGAAATTAAAAGTTGTCTTTGTATTCTTGGAGTGTCAATTTAGTTCCTAATTGTTGACCTTCAAGAATTGATGGCAGTTGGTAAGAAAGCAGTACACACATGGAACATGCACATGGTAAATACACTTGATAGAGCCAAAATGGTAGGAATGGTGCCAGCATTGTTACCACATAAATGAGCTGAAGCGAATTTATCCCTAGTGACCCAGAAGTCTTTTATTTCCTTTTGTGCTGGAATACTTTTGTGTTACTGTACCAATCATCCAAATATATTAAAGCTGTGCCAAAATTATAATAATCTCCTTATAAATATTCTATTATTATTTCAGGCTTTTCCCATTGGCTTGGCTTCCTGTATCACCTCCAGAAAGTAGAGATTCCACAAGTTTCCTCATTCTTGAGCTTGCTTGATCTAGAGAAGATGAAGAAATGGCCCACACCACAGCATGCTCTGGAGATCATTAATCAAAAGGTATTTGAGTGCCTCCTAACTGTAAGGTATTCTCATTTTTAACCCTTTAGTCAGTTTTGAAATGTTGCCTTAAAACCTCTTAACACCTCCGACGGGGAGGTGAGTGCCACAGAGCCAGCTCCTAGTAGTATCTAGCTCATATTTAGGACAGCAGAGGAATCACCTCCTAACCAGGGTAACTCAGTTGCCCTTTGTACAATCATGCATGGCTTAACGACAGGGATATGTTCTGAGAAATGCGTCCTTAGGTGATTTCGTAGTTGTGCAAACATAGAGTGCACTTACACAAACCTAGATGGTATAGTCCACTACACACTGAGGCTGTATCGTAGTAATCTTATGGGACCACCGTTGTATATGCAGTCCGTTGGTGAATGAAATGTCATTATGTGGCACATGAGTATACTATGATCTTTTCATTTTGTATCCAGTGCTGCTTTCTTTTTATATTTAACACTTTTTGCATGCCTTCCATGAACTCTGAACTGTAGGGAATATAAAATGTGCATATTATAATATCTTGCATTTTTCTAGCTCTTCATGCTTTTGAAAGTGCTATTTTATATCTTTCCTTCCTTGGCTTATTCTTTTTTTTTTCTTGAGGAAGATTAACCCCAAGCTAACTACTGCCAATCCTTCTCTTTTTGCTGAGGAAGACTGGCCCTGAGCTAACATCCATGCACATCTTCCTCTACTTGATACATGGGACGCATACCACAGCATGGCTTTTGCCAAGCAGTGCTGTGTCCGTACCTGGGATCCGAACCGGCGAACCCCGGGCCGCCAAGAAGTGGAACGTGCAAACTTGACTGCTGCGCCACCGGGCCGGCCCACCTTGGCTTATTCTTGACATCAGTAGGTTTGTCCTCTGTTTTTCTCTGTCCTGAGGTAATACTCTACTTACTTTTACACTTTTTATTCTGTTTCTTATGACCATTTCTCCTTATAATAAAGCTGTGAATCTTAATCCAGTTTATCTGTACCTTAATTAGCATAGTTCTATTTGAATAACTGTAGGGACTTTGGAGGGAATGTTCTCTACCATTCAGAATGCTTTAAGCTCCTCAGAAGACACAAATGTGGTGTGGTCTGTTCTGTGGTAATGTGGTAGTTGGAGTTCTAAGAAAGGCTGCTTTGTCAAAAATCAAGATTTAAAAGCAGTTTTGCTTCAGTGGAAGAAAAAGGGACTAGGGGCACTAAAGAATTCCTTCATCGACCTTATCACCTGTGTCAATCCAAACAATAGTAGTAGACAGAAGAACTGGGCCTAGCTAAGGGACCGCCCACCTGGGCAGTGGAGTAGCAGGTACCTGGGCCACTGCGTTGGCAGCTTTTGTTCTAAGTGCAGTGCTGGCTCCCAGCCCAGGAGTGGCCCATGTCATGCAAAGCACTTCCCTGCTGCATCAATGACATTATACCCAAAGGACCTAATGAAAACTCAAAGTACAGGCAAAATACCTGTGTTCACATATACAGATGGAAAAATGTGACTTGCTTATGGTTAAACAGCAAAACAATGGCAGTTAAAATTAGGCCATGTAGTAAGTATTACTGACTTTTGTTAGTTTAAAGATAAAATTCAGAATCCTTGAATTTAGCAAAAAGACAGAGATTATGTTCTCCTCATTGTTCTGTCTTAATGAATGCAGTTTGCACTTATCCTTTGAGAAAGCCTTATTAGAAAAACACTTCTCTTTGTGACCAGCAGTTTTCATGCTTATTAAATAAGCTCAGTGATTTACTCTGAGTGTAAAAGTTTTCACTTTTTAATTCAATGCACCCACGCAGTCTAATGCAAAAACCACTGTCAAAGGGACCAGCAGGATATTTATGGGACTAAACTCATCCGAGGCTTAATTTCAATTAAAGGTAAATATTTAAAATAATGGTTTTGTTTACCACCAGTTGAAAGAAGCTTGCTTGAGGTTTTGGTTTTCACCCAGTACACCTCCTGTCTGATGTTTTGTTTCCCTTCTGGTAGGTTCACATTTCAAGTCAATAATTAGCCAGCACATAGTTCTGCAGGTACCATTAGGTCAAACTCCAGACATGACCAAAGTTCAGGCTTATTTATGTTTATGAAATGACAACCAAAGAAATTTCTGGATGGAGAAAAAGTTCGTTTTCATAATTTCACAATTCTACATTTTGTTGAGTTAGCAGTGCTGGGTGAGTCACCTGTATTTCACATTTAGGGGTCTTTATCATCTTAATCAACTCTGGAGCTTTGTTGCTGGACTTTAGCTGTGACTCTGGAAGGCAGAAGAATAGCTAAGAAAGTGACTCTTCTCCCTGCCCACCTCCAACTCGTGAAGCAGACTTCAGGCTTTCAGTGTTCACACAGTCAGTCCATAAACTCTGTCCTCTCGGGCACACCTTGGAAGACTCTCCCTTCAGCATTGGCCTGTCTTGGGAGTGTAGAGGACAGGTGGACGGAAGAGTCAAAGGCAAAGAAAAATACAGGATCCAAAGACTGTTCCCCTCACTCAAAAGTGAAGTCATAGTGAGTCCTTCAAATGCTTAGATGACACAATACTGGGATTTGGTAGTGACCCCAAATTTGAGTGTAGTTGGAGGAATGATTTTAAATGCCTTGTTCACTACAGGGAAAATATCAGCTTTTAAATATCAACCATCTAATTTATCTTCCATATCTCTTCTAAATTATGAGAAAATGGCCTTCAAGTAATGATTGTGTCTGAACAGATACATTACTTTCTCCTGAAACCCCAGGAAGACGGGAGGAAAGGGGTTTTTAAGTTGACATTAGCACACAAGGAAAGGATGGGGAGAGGGAGACAGTGGGACTCCTGTTTTTCGCAACAGAGTTAGTGGAAATGTTTGACTCTTGAAACCCTGTGCCCTATAACATTGACACAAATAAAAATAAACATTTAAAAATGAATTCTGAGAAAAGAAAGGAAGTTAATATTAAAAGTCCCATATTTACTTTGTAAACTTTGGTTCCATGTGTCCAATGGGGCCCTTCCTGTAATGAATGCAATATGATACATTTCGTCCCATTTTTTAAAGTTTTAGAAGGTTATGGTGTATCTATGGCATTTTGTGGGTCATCTCTGATGCATTTTCTGAATCCTTAATCAGGAATGCCACCCTCAGTTACAACATTGCTCAAGAGGGAGGCTGCGATCCATTGGGGGCATGTCCCCCAGGATTGGAAGTCATGTTGCTTCTGCGAAGAAAAATAGATACTACTTAGTGTATTGTTAGCTTTGCTAAGGCTCTTCAGAACCGGAAGTGGCCATAGCGCTCCCAGGGCCTTCCCTGCTTCATGTACCCTACTTACCTCCTGTTGGTGAGGGTGGAGAGGCAAATGTGTCTGCTTTCCACACCTCTTCTCTATCCTATTAAGCAAACATGGCATTGTTTTCTACTCTTCACTTTGTATTACTGGCTCTTTGTGGTCCTGCTGACCTAAAGACGCTTAACTTATTACTGAAAGACTTCTTTATGTAATTACTGTTTTCCTCTTGGGACACCTTCTGTTCTTGTTACTCATTTCCAGGCAGAATGTGAAATTTAGGGAAAAGCTTGCACCATTGTAAAACCTTTTTAACTTGTTTGCCCACCTCTTGAATTCACCATTACTTTTACATTTCTGAAGAACTGAGTGTCCAGATATGAAAACCTTTTCTCTCTGAACTCCTAGATCACTTTCTAGATTTCTTATGGCCTCAAGCATGTTGTACCCTTCTTAGTTCACACCTGATCTTTAGTAGACTGTAATCTCCCTGAAGCCAGGACAAGTATTTTCTTTCTTAGTATTCTCACAGTGCTGACCTAATGCACTGACATATACATTGTAAAGTGTGTGCTGAGTGAATTCTTTAAAGTTCAAAATTACGTTATCATTGGTTTCAATTGAGCCTTTGAGGGTACCCATAGGCATTAGATTTGTTCGATTGCCACCACCCTGAGAGCGTGTGTTCTCATGTTTCTGACTTCCAAATCTAAAAACAGAGGAGGATGAGCTAGTACTCTCTAAAGGCCTCCATCTCTATGACTTTTCCCCCTTAGATTTATTAAGCCCCCATTGAATGCATGGTCTAGATATTCTGTTATGGTGGGCAGGGAGGAAAAATACAGTTTACAATCAGATGTGAAAACAAAGCAAGTAAACAAAACAGAGTAATTACACGGTAGCCTCATCATAACATACAGATTAACTATCTGATAGATAGTGATTCTGTACATTGGTCTCATGCAAAGAAGCACCCAAGGATATTTGTCTAAAACATGAACGTAATGTACCTTGGTAGTGGTTTTACATTTTTTGTGTACATTAACTTTTTTAGAGAAGGAAGGAGAGTAATCAGAGAAAACAAGCCTGGTAAAACAGGGGACGTTGGCTTTGGGTGAGTGATTTTACTTTTACTGTGTTGGGACCAAACTCATGCTCTCTCTGTTTGGTCACTGTTTTCCCCTTCGAACACCTTCTGTCCCCAGCAAATCCAGCAAGAGTTAGCCCAGGGTTGGGCTTTTGGGGCACACTCAATGTATTCCTCTTATTCCTTAATGTTATTGCATGTAGACAAGATTTAATGTCTTACTACTTTCAAGTATGAATAGGAATTTAAATGTCTGGCTAAGAGTAGTACAAGTTGAGATCCTGCAGGTCCTGCTTCAATGAATAGATATGTTTAATTTACAGTTAATATCTATTTGCATAATAAGGTCCTTTAAAAATCTTTTAGGAGTTTGGCCAGCCCGGTGGCACAGCAGTTAAGTTCACACATTCCGCTTTGGCGGCCCGGGGTTTGCCGGTTCGGATCCTGGGTGCAGACATGGCACCGCTTGGCAAGCCATGCTGTGGTAGGCATCCCACATAGAAAGTAGAGGAAGATGTGCATGGATGTTAGCTCAGGGCCAGTCTTCCTCAGCAAAAAAAGGAGGATTTGCACCAGATGTTAGCTCAGGGCTAATCTTCCTCAAAAAAAAAAAAAAATCTTTTAGGAGCTTAAACATACCACCATATAATATTTACTGTTGTATATATATATCACTTATTTTTTTATTCATAGATATGATAAATTTCAACTCACTGAAATGTTGACAAATTCAGAATATTACTAGACACCAAATTTGAGTGTTTCCTTATGTACACTTCAAATTTAGAGCATGAGTGAGTGCCATGGCCTCTGCGTAGAAGAGAATTAACATAGCAGGCCCAAGACTGCTGTCTTTAGAAAGGCCTTCTTGCAAGGTTGGCCCTTAGGAAACTCAGCTTCTCAGAAGTTCCCCAAGCTGATAAAGACTGAGCGCTAGACGCTGCTCTATCAAGTCACATAGATTGTTTGTGCAAATAATGTAGTTTATGGCGAACACCTGATTTCCTCCTGGGAATTGGGAATTTTGGTCGTTACTAGGCAGAAGCTGCCTGTGTGACCAGCCCCAAGGCAAAACCTTGGGTGCTGAGTCTCTCATGACCTTCCCTAGGCAGAAGCATTGCACACATGTGGCTGCATTTTTTCTGCTGGGGAAAGGAACATACTCCATGTGTCTCCTCCAGGCTGGGAGGGAGAAAGCCTATGAAGCCTATGCATGGATTTTGCCAGAATCCGCCTGTCTTTTTTCCTTCCTGGTTTTATCATGTACCCTTTGCTGTGATAAACCTAAGCCATGAATACAACTATATGCTGAGTCCTGTAAGTCATTTTAGTGAATCGCCAAATGAATGGGCAATATTGGGGACCCCCTGAAACAGTATATTGAGATGGTAGTTGTTTTTATTATGCCATGCCACCTTCTCAGCTTTAGAGTAAAAACATAAATAAAAGGACTATTATATTTACATTAAATATTTCCAGGTCACAAGACATTAAAAAACAGTTTTTATTCATCTTCCTCAAGCAAAGAGAAAGTAGTTT